ATTTTTTATTAGTTAATAAAAATTTAACAAATCGTCATTTAGTAGCCTCATCAGAAGCAGTCGATGAAGATAAATTAGATGATGACTGCGAAATATCCGAAAAGTCATTCGAAATAACAAGAAAACTTCTAAACACTTTGTGCTCGTCAGATCAAGAAACATCATTTAGTGAAATCTGTAAACGACTAAAGTCAAAATCAGCTACATTATCAGTAACATCATTTACGAAATTAGAAGCTGTAGGATTAATAATGACATTGGCGATAATGAAGTAAAATTAACAAAATTTATTGTTTGTGCGCCAGAAAATGTTGTACTGAAATTTGGCATAAACGAAATGACTTCCTCTGATGCAGGGTTATTAAATTTGATACCAGGAAACTCTCCGTCATTACTAAAAGAAGCGTGTCATCACATTCATCATCCCAGAGCCGCATTATCATCACCAACATAAAACTCAACCGCGACGTCCTACGAGTTTTCCATTATCAACGAGTGAAACTCAATTTTTATCACCCTCATTGTTTACATTCAACCATCGCTATGTTATTTTTGAAATCACAACAGATCACTGACTTTGGAAAAACAAGATGTACCAACTGGAACGTTTGATATTGCTGATACTAGTTCGATTCCATTTAAGACAGCAACAAAATTCAAATATTAGTCAGTTGAGAAACACAGATATGAGAATATTTTTAAGCATACCTATTAATGATATCAACATTGAAGATTGTACGAAGAATGTATTAAATGTTATTGATTTCACTGGTCTATGTACAACTGAAAATGTTACATCAAACATCATTGATTTTTTTAATTCAAAGAAGCATAAAAATTCTTTACGTTTTACGCCGACATTATTTGAACATGGTCGGTTATTATTGTATCATAGAACAAATAGAGAATTGGATCGATCACGTATAAATTCATCAGAAAATGAATTAAATAGTATTGTATAACATGTATTAGCCTTGTATAGTGAAAGCAATAGTAAGAAAAGTATTTTCATAACAAATAAAAAGGTTTTTGATTATAAGCTTTTCTTTTTTGTTTCCGTTTAGCAAATTTGATTGAAGCACGAAAAGATTTATCAAAATTGCATGAAAGTCATAAACAAGAAGTAACTGAATTAAGAAAACATTTTGAGGAAAAATTAGCTGATTGTGACACAAGAGCTACAGCATACGTTGCATCCAAGATGTCACCGAAACATATTTAGAAATAATTTGACATTTTCGGCTCAAACGGATATTTTGTTCCGGTGTTTTCCAATAGATGTTTCCCATTATAAAGAGCGGATTTTTGCTACCTACGCTAAAGTAAATTCTAGTTTTCTCAGGCAGTACATTCCGCTTTTGGTTTTTCTTTCGATTTATTGTATTCTCCGTTTTTATTTTTCCTCCATAGTGTATAAATACATTTTTCTTGTGTTAAGTCAAAAACTTATCGAGCATGTAAACAATGGAGTGATGGTTGCAGGTGCCGTGAGTGATTGTGTGTCTCTTAACCCTAATCCTCAAGACAGATAGTGTTTTCTTAGTTTCATTTTTAAAGCTTTAAGTCACTTCGAATCATTGTCCGTCGTATTGTTCATGCATGATGTCATAGCCGGTTAACAGGGAGAAAGGAAAAATGTTCATTTCTATTCTACAAGGAATATTAGACTTTTATATAGTTGATGACGTTGGTGAATGAATTTTTTTTCTTGTGTAAATTGATAATGATTTTTTGAGTTGAGCATGCCGACCATGATCATCAAGATGATAGCTCAAATAATTCTTTTTTCTGTCATTTATGTAAAAGCACAATTTCAAGGTTTTTTACGTAGAAAATTCTGCTGACAGAAGGAAAAGAGTAAGAAACTATATTGTACTTATTCACATAATTTTAGAGTCACTTTAATTCCTTTCTCCTACTCTGTAATTAACCTTTCATTTTTTCAAAATTTTGCACAGTCCAATCTTGTCTGAACGGTTTCAGCTCTAGAAAATCCATGTTATATAATTTGACACAAGGTAGTTTATACTGACCACAAGCTTCCTTTGTTTCTTATTAATCATACGGAAAGTAAGGTGCTAGTAGTTCAGACGTTC